CTTCTTACGGTAGCGTTGAATATTTACGGCCTCAACTATGACGTCACTCCCCACTAACCCCCTGTGGTGATTGTGCATCTCCTGTACGTAGCGCGCTTACTCTAAAATCTTTTTCCCCAACTTTAGCAAGTATCCTATCTGCACACCTCCCTTCTTTACCAAAAGTATGTAGTTTTTCTCCCTCGGTATCGTATACCTATCATCGACGAAGACGTCACGGGTAAGACGACACCTGGGTAAACATTGGCAGCATTTAAACTTCTTCTAACCGACGCTCCACAGTGTACCCGAGGAAGGCCTATTAAGAAGGCCGAAAACGTTTGTACTCCAGTTAATAAGGCTAGAGATTAGTGAGAAAGGTTTTGTGCTGTTAGTCTTAGAAATAGTTCTAGCTACATATGCATAGTAGTTTTATTTTAGATATAAAAGTAATATCATAAACAACATATAGTTTGGCAGTAGTAGAGTTTGGTCTAGACAAACATATAATGATAAAACTTACTCTGGAGTTATAACTTCCAGAAACTTCAGAGGTGCCACTTGATTGCACAATGTTAAAATGATAACGCTCGGATTATTTTCCAAAACATCTTCCCTGATTGATAGATTCGTATCATCTTTGCTTGAACCTTTCTTAAATTTATGGGAAAAATAAATCTATTAATATAAACACAAAACGAAAAACTTTTAATAGCATATGAATGCACACTACGAAGGACACAGAGTAAACAAATAAAACTTACTGAAAACTTAGAAACAGTTTTTGTTTCATGATCTACAAAATTAGATAAGTTATGCATGAGTGACACAAATTCACAGTAAGATTTAAAATAGCATGTGGAGGATTCTTTGACTTCTTCAAAACTGCCATCAATATTATACGATTTCTGTAATAAAGACAAGTTGTCCACATAATATTTCTGGTGTGACAATCGTGAATACTGAACAAACTTTGAAAAATTTCCATTTGTGGATACTTTAGGTACAGGGACTCTTGTACATTTCAGAGAGCTTTTTCTACAAGTATAAGAGATATCTTCGTCTGAAGGAATTTTATTGCTATCTTTTTCTTCTGATTTATTTACATTTGATTCACGCAGTGAAAGAGAATTAAACAGTACTTTTGAATAATCAGTAGCTAAGGACATGGATCCAATTGCTTTATTTTTTGATATTTTGTGTGAATATCTCATAAATACATCTTTCCTATTAGATAAACCTGGTTCTGTTTCACATATGTTTAAATTTTCTAAAGCGACAGAAAAGTTTTTATCATGAGCACCTTTAATAGCTTGAGTTTTGTAAATTGAATTGCTCAATTTCTCCCCTTTATACATTAGAATATCATCATGAATTTGGGCTTTGCTGATTAAATATTCCAGCTTTGCCTTGGTGCTTTCTAGTGCTGAACATTCAAAATTCTGAATTGGTGATTTCACCAGAGAGTTATCTATTAAATTGTCATAATTATTTGATGTTTTGTGGCCAAATTTCACAGGTGTCACGTTTGGTGTGCTGGTTGTCAAACCATATTTAGGTTTCACTTTACCCAAACCAAGAGTGGGGCTCAAAATTTCTCTTAAAGATGAAAAATTTAATTCAGAGTCTGACCTGAAACTTAATTTATCTTTAGTATTATCTTGTGTACTTATAATTTGAATGCAATGATCATTTTTGGTCACTTCAACATTACTTATATTTCTGTTCTCCCAAGATTGGAATAAACTTTTATCCATTTTTGAGCTTATACTTTCATTCATTTTCACCTTATTTCCCTTTTCCAATTTACTTTCTCTGTCACTTAAATCTAATTTGATTTTCTCTACTTCTTTAATGTTCTTTTCAACAATAAGATCAAAATTTTCAATTTCACTCCAGTCAATCGTGCACTTTTCCACATAATTGTTGACAATGCTATTATTATTTTTATTCAATTTTGCATTATTTTTTGAATTTTTCTTACTTCCAGTCTCCTGAATATTTTTAATGGTAATATTCTTATTTTTTTTGCCATTTTTGTTTTTAAATTTAACATTTTTTGAAATGGGTTTACAGTTTTCTTTGTTTCCATAACTAAAACAACTGTCAGGACAAAAGGGTGATTGGAAAAGATGAGCACTGTCTTCTGATGTTTTTCTTCCTTTTGAAAACTGAAAAAAAGTAAACAATTATTCTTAAAATTAGATAAACAACTGTATTTAAAGTGTGACAAATGAAAAAAAAACAAACATAAATAGATATATGAGACAAGTTCTAGGTTGACAAACCACATATACAATTTGTTATAAAGTGAATTAAAATTATTTCGAGAGACGTCAACATTGACGCTCATCCCGGTATATGCCGATCGGACAGTATCCCTCCGAAACTTTCAAACTCTCCCTTGTAATTCCAGCCTTTTATTTTTCTGACAGAAACAATTTTTTTATAGTAGTCACAAGAATGTCAGACCAACATTCGTTAAATTTTGCATCAGTTTTTATTTTCAAAAGGTGAGAGTATAATAGCAAAGGTAGAAAGTGGGCAGATGTCTGATGTCTGTTGTTGCTGGGCAGTATGGCTCGAACAGGTCTACAGTAGGCCACAGTTTGAAAGATAAGAAAGATACTGTATTATCAAGAAGACTCAAGCAACTAAAGGAGTAATAAAAATCACATCTGAGAAATAAAGAACATTGAAGAGCTCATAATGGAACCTGAAACTGATCTGATGACAGAAGAATGCCAAGAAACTCAGCAAGATATGTTTTTCTGAAAAAAGAGAATTAATGTTGATATATGCTATTAAACATTTTTTGAAGAAGTGGGATGATGTCAGAATGAGTCTTAGAATGGCATCCAAACTAGGTTGAGGTTAATAGCAGGGCTGTGGAGTTGGAGTCGTGGAGTTTTGGTGTTTTAGCCAGAGTCGGAGTCATCAAAAAATCCGCCGACTCCGACTCCTTTTTACTTCCCAACTTGTTATGTATATAAAACGGAAAAGTATTGGAATCGTGTCAAATTTGACCCTCCAGGTTTTTTTTTTTTTATTTTGCAAATCTACACATTTAAAGACCTCCCAAATTCCTCAAAAAAGTCAATAGAAGGGGGAAAATTCCCGTAGGTGTGTGTGTTGACGTCTAATTTGTTTAATTTCTTTATTTTCTGTTCTGAGATATTAAACAATATTTCAGAATGAGTAAAGTTTAAGAAACAAAATGTAGCACTGTGGCTTGCGTATAAAGAGGCATTAATAGAGGAAAAAGTGGTATTATGGAACAATGCGGATATTATGGAACCACGCCATTTCAAACTGATAATAAAGACGAACTGTAGCGGATTATGGCTGAACTGAACTAGGCAGACATCCATAGCAAGAAGAAAACCCGTTTTACTTCAGTTAAATGATTGTCCGTATTTAATCAGCAAATTTGTTTCTTTCAAATTTCGCAAGTTTTGAATGCTAAGCGAATTTAATTATTTTTAAAATATAAATTGTGTAGTTGTAGGTTCACTGGTGCACGTATTCCATTACAGAGATTTAGGAGTACATATTAATCTGTGTGATGTTCACGTTTTTTAAAATTTGGTCTTGACAGCATAAGTTAATTCGAGGTGGCAATGCGTGAAATACGGACCCCATTGGTGCTTTTACAGTAATATGGAACTCAACTTCTCCGAACTCTCTCTTTGCAAGCAGACATTCGTCCAGAGCAATTTGTCAAAAAGACACTAGATAGAAAGTCAATTCTTCCTGAGAATATCGAAAAGAGCTGCTGAAATATATATTGTTGATGGAGGTCATATTTTTTTATTATAAAAGCATTTTTGCGATAAAATACATTGGAGTAAATAATTTTGTAATTATTTAAAATTCATTAAAGCATTTTTTAAAAATATACAGTAAGGTTCCATATTACCACCCAATTTTCTCTAAGCCTACTTTCTGACTTTTTGTACAAAAGCCTTCAAAAACCATACTTATAGTTACACTAGTGAAAAATCCAATTAGGAAAATTTAGTTTAATAGTTACCAGTACTTTTCGCACAAAAAATGTAGGTGTAGTTATGATACCTTGTTTACAATTCACTAAAATATAATTGGAGTTCCATAATACCATCTTCTCCTCTACTATTAAATTTTGGTTCTTAATTAAAGGTCGACAGGGTAAAGACATAAAAGCGGTCATGTGTCATATCTCTTAATAAATATTTTACTCGTTATTAGCGTTCAAAATTAAAAAAAGAAATAAAACTCGTCTCTACCCTCAAAGTAAGCTTTTTTGTCATTTTATAATAGTGCTTTAAACCCGTTAAATATAATAGTACTTTAAACCCGTTAAATAGTAAAACCTGTTAAGATGTTCTCGCCTAAGATGTTAGAATGTATATGGGATCATGATTTAGTTCAACCACTTTGACGCTTAATAACTAACTCCGGTGTCCTCCTCTGACTCCGATTCTGACCACAGAAATTATTAGGCTTCAAACAGGGTAAACAAAATTATGCCCCTCACACGCAGTCTAACATCCACACATATAGAAAAAAAACCTCAAATCTTTTGCTTATCTCGAAATTTCGAGGTGTCCCGAGTCAAAAAATGTAAAAATTTGGAAAGGGTGATTTTTTGACCGAGCGCTACACTTTCCCCGTTATACATAACAGCCGGAAAAGTAAAAATTATCAAATACATATTTATATATTACTTAGAGGAGTCTTTTAGCATTGAAATAAAAAGTTTCTGCGTTTTATCTTTATTAGAACTCTATTTATTAAATCTTTTATTCTGAGGTCACTTGACGACATCAGAATTTCCAGGTCTCTTTCGGTAACAAGTCCTTCCTTGGTCAAAGTCGGAGTCGGATGGTAAGGAAAAGTTGGAGTCGGAGTCGATAGATTTTTACGCGACTCCACAGCCCTGGTTAATAGGCTTCAGGATCTCTACAATTACAATGCTATTAATTACTTCTGAAAAATCTTGATGACGAGAGAAAAGCAATCGACATTGGACAGATTCTTTAATCCCCACAAATGGAAAAAACATGACTAATAAAAATGCAAGACTGTGTATGTATGTATTTTTATTATTACTTATAAATAAACATAGTAAGAAAGTGTATATTTTCTAGCTTTTGGGGTCTCCAGAATGAATTAATCAAATTCCCATAAAACCTATGGGAAATCGATAATCAGTTAACGAACAATTAGAATGGCAAATGAAGTCTTGGAACAGATTATGCTTGTTAACCGATCACCCACTGTTTATGCATTTTATACTAAAAGAGCATTAATAATAAATTTTTAACAGCCAAATGTCTATTTGTAGACATTTGACTGTGAATAAAAACAGAAAATTATGTGCTCTATTCCTCAATATTCTCTTTCTGCACGTTTTTATACTTTAAAAAATCTAAAACAAACATTTATAACTAACCCTTCAAACTGTCAAACTGTAGTAAGCACCAGTGGTCTTATGATGCAAATCAAGCAAGTTTTCAATTAAAAAATTCATACAAATACTTCATTAATAATTTATTACATAGGGACTATAGAAATCAAAAATAAATAAATTTCTTTTACTATACAGGACATAGTGTTTCATTTTCTATCTTTTTTTTGTTTCTTTCCATTATTGTAATCATCAGTTTGATTCTGTTTGTAATCACAATAAGCAGCATCCACTGTATATCTATACTACTATATAAAGAGACAATGCATTTTTCATTTGTGACAACTAACCGTGAAAACTACTGAACCAATTGTTACCAAATTTTAACTGTAGCATCTTTATGATCCCCAGAATGTTTACCACTAATCAAACCTACAGATGTTTTGTCTATACTAATATAAATTAAAAGATATCATCTAGGGTTAAGGCTTTTATGTCCAACAGATGGCGCTATGAGTACAACGCCCTAAGTTTGCTTTTCTGTGAGGATGAACTAAAGCAGATCATCTATCTATCTATATAAATAAAAATGTAATGTTCATTTGTTCCTACCGATTCCTTTGAAATTTTGACACAACGCTGCATTCAAATACGCACACGTTTTTTTTATATAATATACACATGTCGAAATTTCCCCCAAAGGGAGATGGACAGGATTAAGGCTTGCCATAAAGAACTCTGCTTCTATTTATACTATTTTAGATGCCGTTTTTTGCGTTTTTGATTGCATTTTAATAGAGTACGTCAAGAGAATGTACACTAAGGGATTTATCGAAAAATTTCCCACCCCCACGGGGGAAGTGTAATACATTTATAATAGATACATTTTGAGCCACAACAATGTGTGGCAGGGACACTTTGATGTTTTCATCAAAAGTTTTGAATCTCCATAACACAACTTTCTCTATTTTAAATAATTTAGTTAATGTAATTTCTGGTGAAAACTGTTTAAGTGAAAATCATGTGTTCCACAACTATTTTATTTATCAAAGTACATTTTATCTTATACATAATAAAAAATAAAATACATTAATACTTACAGATACTTCTAGACTGTTGTTGTTTGAAAAAGATAAAATTCTGCAGCTCCTGAAAATAATAATGAAAACATGATTAAATATTTTACAAATATTTTCATAACTGTTTAATACAATATAATTTTATTTTTTAAAATTTCTTATATTAAATAGCATATTTTTCATTTCCTTTTAAATAAAGACATCATTATAATCCTTCCAAAAAACAAAAGTTTAATAGTTTAGCTTAGTGTTTCTTTAGATAGTCAAGTTCTCAAAACTTATAAATCACACAAAATTCTTGAAAACTCATTATACAGAATTGTGTGTTGTTATTATTCATTTCAAACTTGTGCATCCATAAATGCAACATAAGACAAGAAAAGGTTAATTCTCAAATAGCATAGCAGTTTCTGAGTTGATAAGTTACAATGTCAATCTCATTACTGTAGAACATCATGGCTCACATCGGGAAGACTGGATTGGTGTTGTATTTGGTGTCTAATGAGGTCAATGTAAATGACACTTTCACATAGGTCAATACTTAATTTTTCCACTTGCATTGTGGTAAAGATTGACTCTAAAGAATAAGCTTGACTCAATTTGTAAAGAATAAGCTTGACTCAATTTGTAAACACACCCCTTTTCTGTTGCAGTCTGGCATTGTGCTGCTTATTGTCATGGATTGAATAGTAGTGAGAAAACTAAAGTGATAAGAAAAATCACACTGAAACAATATGGTTTGGAAAAATTAATAAATACAATTCTAAAAATAAAAATTCTCAAAACAATTTTTCAAGTAAAACCATTCATTCTTCACTGACTTCGAGTAAATTGTGACAACACAGTTAAAAATCAAAAAAGGAAAACATTTATTTTACTTTTTTTAAAAAATCCAAATGCATTTCACCTATTCGGCCTCTTCGGTGAATACTGACTTCAATTAACAAGTGTCTTCTTATGATGAACGATACTATCCCAGCATGCATCAATGATCAAGCCGGCATTCAAATTTATGTTATTTGCATAACTTTTAATACTATAATGTTCTTTAATACGGCATTTAATAAGATTTTTTTCTTCATATAAAATTTTTATGTTATTTTTGTTGATTTTACATTTAAATTATTATACAGTAGACCCCCTATAACACGGTAGATACGTTCCGTGTTATATGAATTCTGTGTTGTACGAGTCACTAAAATACATGAGCCAATCATAGCCTGGCACGTGTGCACTTTAGCGGCTACGGCTGATTGAAAGGTTTTCTTCCATAAAATTAATCAATTCTAGACTAATTTGACTCAACATTTCCAAATCATGTATAATTTTTTGGGAATAATCCATATAAACTATGCAATAAACAAAAAATTGTAAGATTACTTACCAAGTGTGCACCGTTCAAAGACGCCATTGCTTAAGCTTGTTTTTGTCGGCGGGCGCGTTTCCTGATAAGTTATTTTTCCGAGAAAAATTAACTGAACTTTGGAGACATCATTAATATAAATATAATTTTTATGGCTGTTAAATAATAAATGGTTTTTAGTAGGTCCACTGCTCGTTTAACTCAATGGTTTGTGAAATGTCCAATATTGGTCCAGATTCGATCAATCTTGTTGCGACAAGAGTCAGCAATGATGTTTTACCGTGTTATACGAGTCTCTTTTAGCATGTTATACGAACATGATCCCAATTTTTTCACCATGTTATATGAATCCATGTTAGATGAACCTGTGTTATACGGGGAGTCTACTATAGTGTTGAAACCAAGGTGATTCACTACTTTTCAATGTTATGGCCGCTTCATGTTCTTTGAGTCGTTTTTCTAATTTTCTTTTAGTTTCGCCTATGTAGTAATTAGGCTGCAGACACATACATGACATTCTGTATACGACTCCTGCAGTATTCAATTGATGATCTTGTACTTTTTCTTCTTCTTTATTAATAAAGTTTATTACATTAGATAATCTATTTTTTGATTTGCTATAATATGAAATGAAAAATTATTAAACTGGCTTTTGTATTTTTCACATAAGCAATTTATATACAGAAACAAAATGTATCGGGAATTTATTTTTTCATTTTTAAGGTTGTATCAATTACTTATATAATGATTATACCACTTAAGATTTTTCCTGGGTAAATATTTTCTGTGTAACTGTTTCTTCTACTATGATGTCTTCATGTAATGTTGTTCTAGTTAATATTTTTCTTAACTCCATCAAAAAAGTATATCTTTTAATTTCTATGAGACAATATGATTTATAATTAATTGTTTTTTTAACATTACAAATTTTCTCATACTTACGGAAATATAATGTCTTATCATTTCTTTTTATGGTTATATCTAGGAAGTTTAATTCTTGGTTATCTTCATCTTCATAAGTAAGAATTAGGTTATTATTTAAAATATCAGCATGATCTTCCATTTCTTTTGCTTTAATTTTTTATGAGTCATATTATTATTATGTCATCAACATATCTAGCATAATAGCATATACCTATGAACTGTAATATTTTTTCATCTGCAGCAGTCATACAAATATCTGCCAGTTTTGGGCTGACAACTGAACCAATCGAGATTCCATTTCTTTGTCTATAGAATTCTGTAGAAAGTTTGAAGTAATTATTTTTAAAAATGAAATCTGTTAAATTCATTATGTAACCTGGCATATCAAAAATTTTCTTTAACAATTTCCAAGGTTATTGATGGGTACATTGATTTAATATCCAAGTTCATTAGTCTGTATGATGGTTTAATTTGTCCTTTTAACAATCCTGTAATTAGTTGGTTCTTATCTTTTATGCTATATTTAGATCTTGGTATATTCTGTAAACAGTTTTTAAGAAAATTTCTAAATTATACAATATTGAATGTCTAAAGTCGTATACAGACTGTCATGTACATGTCCATAGACCAAATACTACATAGAAGAAACTAAAAGAAAACTAAAAAATGACTCAAAGAACATGAAGTGGCCATAAGATTGAAACATAGTGAATCACCTTGGTTTCATCATTATAATAATTCAAATGTAAAATCAACAAAAATAACAAAAATTTTATAAGAAGAAACAAATCTTATTAAATGCCGTATTAAAGAACATTATAGTATTAAGTTATGCAAATAACATAAATTTGAAAGCTGGCTTGATCATTGATGCATGCTGGGATAGTATCATTCATCATAAGAAGACACTTGTTAATTGAAGTCAGTATCCACCGAAGAGACCAAATAGGTGAAATGCATTTGGATTTTTAAAAAAAAGTAAAATAAATGTTTTCCTTTTTTAATTTTTAACTGTGTTGTCGCAATTTACTCGAAGTCAGTGAAGAATGAGTGGTTTTACTCGAAAAATTGTTTTGAGAATTTTTATTTTTAGAATTATATTTATTAATTTGTACATATAACCAATCCCATTGTTCAATTTTATCTTTTATATAGTTAATAATATGGTTTGATTTTCTTTCAACACCACTGAACCAGACAATACCAAGATGAAAAACAGAGTTAAATTGTCATACATCTATGGCATATAAAAAGACTGCCTGGCATGAAATATAACAGGAATGCACAACCTTTTCTGGAGAAGGGTCAGATTAAGATTAATTAATTTAAGTTTACTGACCAGGGGGCCAGACCATTTTTACAATCCTCTTTGTTGTTGACAAGGAGTCTAAGTCTAATTACTTTAGCGGCAGGCAGTGTTGACAATTATGGCTTGACATGGTTTGAAATAATTATTAAATCCAAAAATTTTTAGTGCAATCAGCTTCCTTTTAGTCATATGACTCTATTCCAACTAATTTTCTTGGTCCAACATAATAATTAAAAATTTTGGCACAAAATTTTTTTTTATATTTTTGGTTTATGGAGAGACATTGTTGTAAATAATTGGTTGTTATAGTTTTTGTACATTCCTTTTTGAACTCTGATTGGATTTTTCTAGTTTGAATGACATTAGGTTGACAAATAAGTGTCTTTTCAGAAAAGACTGACTCAAATTTCCTAGAAAGTACCACACCCTCTTCGACTATACCAATCAGAATCTAGAATGTAAACAAATGCTAAAAAGTCATTATTTTCATGGTTTTTCATGCTATTTTCATTTATTTTTATGTTATTTGATGCTATTTAGACGAATAAGCAAGTTTTCCAAAGCATATAATTGAAAATTTTCCATCAAAATAGAAACTTCCTGATAACATTGAAAATGACGTTCTAACATCACTTATTCTATTTGATTCTTCTAAAAATCATTATAATATTATGCATTAGACTTAAAATATTCGGTATCTAAACCAGAAAGTGTGTTAGCTAGAAATAGACAAACTTCAACTGCTCGGAAAACTTGCTTATTCGTTTAAATAGCGTCAAATAACAAAAGTAAGTGAAAATAGCACTGAAAAACCATGAAAATAACTAATTTTTAGCATTTGTTCACATTCTAGATTCTGATTGGTATAGTCGAATTTGAATCAATCTTTTCTGAAAAGACGCTTATTCGTCAACCTAATGTCATTCAAACTAGAAAAAACTAACCAGAGTTCAAAAATGAATGTACAAAAAGCTATAACAACCAATAATTTACAACAATATCTCTCCATAGACAAAGAATAGAAAAAAAATTTTTCCGCATCAAATTTATTATTATTAAGTTGGACCAAGAAAATTAATACTGTAGTTCAGTGTTTCTCAACCAGTAACGAATCGTCGCCCCCTTCAACGTAGTATCGCCCCCTTCAATAAAACCGCTACGTAGTATCGCCCCTTCACTTCAAAATTCCGATGCCCAGGGCCAAGGCTATCGCCAAATTCTTACTGCATTGAAGACTAGTGACTAGTATAATGTTATTTGTTTAGTTATTGTACAATATAACGAATAAAATATCTAATTATTCATAATACAGTGGAACCTCGGTATACGTCCTTAATCCGTTCCTGGTGTTTGGACTTATACTGAATAGGACGTATACCAACCTACCTTTGCCATAAGAAGTAATGTAAAAATGATTAATCCGTTCTCATGTAAAAAAATGGCTGGCTTTAAACACCTCGCTTTCCTCGCTAGT